TTAATTTTGGCATCCGTTATGAAAAGATACTCCGTTAGAAAACAAGTTGTAACATTGAAAGAAACAGTTGACTCTAATCAAGAGTATCTCGATATTGCAGCTCAACTTTTTTATTGTCGTTGATAATCTAAAGTTAAATAACGGTTAATCATATTTTATATATCTTCTAGGTAAATGTAAATGCAATTGATTTGAACTCGCTGGATTTCTTTCCACGCAAATTTTTTAAGTAAGTTTTTTACACAAAATTTATTTCAAATTATTTAGAGATACGCATTTATTTTGTGTTAAAATATTAACAGAGTATTAGTGTGATCATTTAACATATCCATATTATGTTAAATTTACACGAAAATTTGTGTGGACCGTTTGAGACATGTGATATCTGTTAAATTTAACACACATTTTTCAACTGTGTATAATAACGAAATGCTAACTGGGCATCGATGACTTTTAGTCTTCACCGCGAATTGTACAATATGGGTCGCGGTCAAGCTGTCGTTTCAAATGTTTCCAAGTATTCTTCTCCTTTCTTCCAGAAAAGGTAGAAAGAGAAGAGGGACACTTCGAAGCACTTGTGGCGGCGACTTGCTCGCAATCGTACAGCGGCCTGGCGTTTTTTAATCGCGCGGGCGAGGTGTTTCATATGCCAAAGGACACTGAAGGCATCCGTGCGGCACGATTGCCTGCGAAAAGTGCCAAGTGCGAAGCTTCACGGTCGCGTACTCAGCAAAAATATTCGAATATACGCTGCTATTATTACGCAGGAAAACGCGCACGAAGTCTCAAACTTAAAGTTTAATTCTCAATTTTTATCCCACAGCCCACACTGTCGCGCTCGCGGATTCAGTTAACCTCGACGCTGAAACGCATAACAGTCTTTATAGGAAAAATACGCAGCGGCGCGCCGCGTCCATTGGCCGGCGCGCTGGTGGTGGGGAACCGAGGTATATAAGCGGCATGCAAGGAGCCGCGCAGCGCTATTGAGAGCGTTCGTCGGTAGGAGACCCTTTCGCACATAACCTTGGGCTCGATTCTTGAATTTATTCGAAGGAGAAACGTATGCGAGAATTCTGCTCTTACAGAAAAGTTGCAAGTTGGTTGGCTATTCGCATGGCTTTAACCAATCGACTTTCAACTTTTCTGTAAGAGCAGAATTTTCGCATACGTTTCTCCTTCTAATAAATTCAAGAATCGAGCCCCTGCACGTCCATTTGATAATCGCTCGTCGCTTATTGGTCATCGCGTCCAGTCATCGCTCGTCGATCACTTGTCTAGACTCTAGTCCGAATCCAACCTAGCGAGAGAGAACCGCAAAATGACGTCCTACGCGGTCGAGCTGCATCCGCCGTCTGCTTCTGCTCGCGTGTGCCGCTCTTATAAAGCCTAGTCGAGAGCTAGCGCCGACCAATCGGCACTCGGCGCAGCTGCACGCCGCGTCCATTGGCCGGCGCGCTGGTGGTGGGGAACCGAGATATATAAGCGGCATGCAAGGAGCCGCGCAGCGCTGTTGAGAGCGTTCGCCGGTGGGAGACGCTATCGCGTATAACCTGGGGCCCGATTCTCGAAATCATTCGAAGAAGAAACGTATACGAACATTCTGCTCTGACAGAAAAGTTGAAAGTCGATTGGTTAAAGCCATGCGAATAGCCAATCAACTTGCAAGTTTTCTGTAAGAGCAGAATTTTCGTATACGTTTCTCCTTCGAATAAATTCAAGAATCGAGCCCCTGTACATCCATTGGCTAATCGCTCGTCAATCGCTTGGCTAGTCTGAATCCAGCCTAACGAGAGAGCCGTAAAACCACGTCCTACGCGGTCGAGCTGCATCCGCAGTCTGTTCCTGCTCGCGTGCGCCGCTCTTATAAGGCCCAGCCGAAAGCCTAGCGCCGACCAATCGGAGCCCGGCCCAGCGGCGCGCTGCGTCCATTGGCCGGCGCACTGGTGGTGGGGAACCGAGGTATATAAGCGGCATGCAAGGAGCCGCGCAGCGCTATTGAGAGCATTCGCCGGTGGGTGACGCTTCGTCACGTCGCGACGCGTCGCACGGAGGACGCCACTGTAACCTGCTGTAACCTGTCCCGAGATCCTCTCTCCATAATACCAAGGCCTCGATGAAAGTTCTTGACGTGAAGCTTGGCGAGAATCTAAAAGCTGCTTGCAAAGAGACTTCCGCTCCTTCCTGGCACATCCGTCTTCCCGTTTATGATCTTTTCATCATCCCTGTCGCCGTAAAATCTTCCTTTGCAAGGTAGAGTATTGGGCTTTTGGCAGGCCGAAGGTTCCGTCAAATTCAGCGAGTGGATCGCTTCTCTATG